GGGGGCAGAGAACGGTGGGGTATTATTTTATATGTGGGGGCAGAGAATGGTGGGGTATTATTTTATATGTGGGGGCAGAGAACGGTGGGGTAGTATTTTATATGTGGGGGGCAGAGAACAGTGGGGTATTATTTTATATGGGGGGAGGCAGAGAACAGGGGGGAGGGTATTTATTTTATATGTGGGGATGTGGGGGGCCACAATGTTTACATTGCTTTATCTTAATATTGTTGTTGTTAATATTTATTTTTGTAACTTTATTCTGCCTTCAACATTTAAAAGTGTAATTTCATAAGATAATTTAAGAGGGTGGGTTTAGGGGCGGAGTTAAGGCCGAGGCAGGGTTGGGGTTAGGTGGGGCAACTGGTGGCGAGTAACTCTTAAGGCCTGGCTAGTAGCTCAGGACTTGAAATTTTGAGCCCTGTATATATATAAAATGTGGTTTGGCACTATTGGGCTGAGGTACCACTGATGCATTGAGCTATACCCTTGCTTTTTAGGTGATGGAAAGAGCTGTGATTGGGGTTAGAGGTGGAGACAAGAGGAATACGTTTTTGTATAAGGACGCTCACTGAAATTACAACTTGCAAATCTGCATCAGTCACTTAAAGTGACATTAAACCCTCAGATTTTTTAACATAATATAAACCAATACCCTCAGATTTTTTAATATAAACCAATACTGTAATGTGTGCTGTAATCCATGGCAGTCTGCTGCAAAACAGAAGTTCTGCCCAGCATGAGAACAGATACAGATTTAAAAGGAAGAGCAGCAAAGAGAAGGGAAACAACCATGGATTACAGTAAGGCACACATTACAGTATTGGTTTATGTTAAAAAATCTGAGGGTTTAATGTCACTTTAATCATTGGTGGGATATAACCTTATTCACCCAGTAGGTCTCTATATAGTTTTTTTTTGCAATAAATTATTTAACATTGTATTAATTTGATAGTTTTTTTGATTAATTTGTGATATTAAATACGGAATAGTTAATTCATGATTTTGGGTGGGGTATTAAGGGAGAACTATGGGGTTAAGGCTTTTCCCCATAGTTCTCCTTAGGGTAACGGGAGGACACAAACTAGCGTCCTCCCGTCACCCTAGGCTCAGTATACCGCGAGCTGCTGCTCACGGTATACTGAGACACCGCAGCTGAAGCAGATCCTGACAATTATGACTGACAGCTGGCTCTGCCTATCTAGAGGCAGAGCCAGCTGTACCCGCCCCCTCCCCCGTCCGTTCCACCAGTCAGTGCTGGCGGATCGGAGCGGGGAGGTGGGAATCCAGCCACTCCACTGTCACGGCAGAGAGCCGTGACAGGATCAAGAGGTGAGTGAACGCCGTTATGTGTTCCATTTACCATCATGTGCAGCTGTGATTATTTATCTAAAATATATATGAATACGTTATGTCTGACTATGGAGGATTATGCCTTTTTATCTCTGTATTTAAAAAAAAAAAAAATCCCCTGCATATACTTATCTTACTTATTTAGTGCTTCAAGAGTTAAATATATGCTGCATCTGTGAGTGGGAGTTCTTCTCTAAATACAGTTTGCCTTGATACTTTCTCCTGCAACTTGACAAAGACCCATTCAGTCAAAATGGCTAGTCCCTTGGCTAGGGGGATTATGCACGATTGATCATTTGTCTGCATCAGCAACTTTGATTCTTCTTATTTTGGCGTATATCCGGTGCTAGCAAGCAGTAGATATATGCCCCATAATTTAAAACATATTTTTAAAACAGTAGGCAAATACCTAAATACGGCTGAAGAACTCCCGCCTCCCGAACTACTGTGAAGAAATTTGCCGGGCGCATACGCAGTAGAGAGGAGAAAACAGACAAACTCAATGGATGCAGCCAGGAGTGCAAACTTTTTACTTTGCCCACATGTAGCACATGTTACATTTGCTCAGAAATTATGGATGATTCCAAAAGAGGCAAGAGCAGTATAATCAGAATGCATAATTACACATCCTACCTGTAGCAGTACAAGATGTGCAACAATACCGACTGCAGTAAGAATCTGGAAGTCCCAACCCTGATCTATAAAGGATAACTGATTGATTCACTGCATTTTACAATGTGAAATCATAGCCTCCAGCAATCTCTTGAACCAGGACCTGGGGATGTAGCCTGCGTTCCTGTGCATACAGCATTACTATATGCAGTATACGCTATACCACAAACAGAAGCAAGTTAGTTACCTGACTGCAGCCAATTCTGGTAATATACCCCAATGCTGAAAAGCAAAAGAAGACAAGGTAGGCATTACTGGTGGTAAATATAATTTCAAACTTAAATTATTTGTACAGTAAATACAAAGTTGTCTCCAAAAGTAAATAAACTGTCAGTTTTGACAAGCTTTTCCCTGTGAATCCCATACATAGGATCCCATGACCCCAGCTTATCCCAGGAGCCATTAGAAAATGAAGTACAGTGACCTGTAGAAGCTCTAGATTGGGGATTGTGATAGGATTACATAAAACCCAATGCATTTAAATTTTGGTTGCAATTGTATAAAACACAGATTGCATAAATTGCAAACAAGATCGTAGTGATAGCCACACGTTTCAATCTGATTGTACAATCTTCTCTAGATTTACTGACAACTGTATAACAGAAAAGTCCACCTAGATAAAATCTGAATCTAGTTGCAGACACCTTAAAGAAACATACTTTATAAACCCTTCCTTTAAAGTGAAATTAACGTCAAAAGGGTTTTAAAAGAGCTATGACCAAACCTTTTTTGGCCGTAGTTCTCTTTAGAGTCACATTTACTAGGACATTTACTAATGGTTTCCTGTGACCCAAAACAGCACAGAGCCAGGATCCACCCCGCTGCCTGATTGACAGCCGGCTCTGCCTCTCTAGCGTCTCCACCCCCTCCACCGTTCGTTCATCCTTCCAGTCAACGCTAGGGGAACAGAGAGGGGAAGGGGACTGCCTGTGGGGAGTGGTGACTACTCGGTGCACGATTTGTCCCTGCTCTCTGCAGGGACAAGGTCGTGCACTGAGCAATCAGCGGTATGTGATTGCTTAGCTCTGGATCAATAGAGTCGATGTATGACAGTGGAAGTGTCCCAAGTTGGCTCTAACTATGGGGAGCAGTGTATTTCCCTCATCCCATAGTTCTCCTTTTAAGCCATTTCAAATGCTGATGAAATCACTTAAATGGATGCCGCTTCTTGATGTTTAAAAGTTTTAGCTTCCTGCAGAATCAGCCGATTCCGAGCACTGGTCCTGATATCATGTTTTAGGGTGGCTCCTTTCCCTTGCAGGGTCCTATGGAGCCAGCCTTGTGTTTGCTAGTAAGTGTCTCTACAAAACACACAGGCACAGCAAGGCAAGAAACTCCCCTGTCCCTGCTCTCCACTCCTTCTCACCTTTCCCTTCTCCAAGCTAGTAGATGGACAGCTGCTGGACACTTTGTCCCTTGTGATCTTGTACTGTTAGGAAGTTCAGGGAAGCTGAACTGAGGGAGTTTGAGTTGTTCAGAGACATGATAACTATAAGTATTTAGGCAAAAATGTAAAGAAATACTTTGCGGGGTAATATATATTTGATCTGCATTCGTTCTTGAAAAAAGTTTGAGAGTAATACTACTTAAACCAATATTCTGAATGTAAGATATGTTCATGTTTGTACCATTCATCCATCCTTAAAAGATATTGCAATCAGATTTTAATGTGTGTTGCCAGCTTGAAGTAGCATTAAAGGCTGTGTGCTTTTTGCCTTAATGCAATCCCTGCATCAAGGCAAAAGACACCAGCACTTTTGTTACACCCCCGTCCCCCCTACACTTACCTGCAGCCGCTCATCTCCTTCGTCGAGACCAGGAAGATACACTGGTTTCCCTGAACTTTCTGGTTGCGGTGGGAGGGTACCGAGGGCAGAGGAGCCATAGGCCCCTTCTGCTGTCAGTCAAGCTATGACTGCAGGGTGGGGGTGTGGCCGGCCGCACGCTGTGCGTGTCTCTATGGATGCACACAACTAGGTGCGGGCATGGCAGTGGCCGTGCACGTACGGGTGCCTCCACAGAAGTCAGCTAGCTAATGGAGGCCCCCTTTGGGGGTTTGGGCTCGCGGTCTGGATTCCACTTGAGAATGAGGTAATTAAATAACTTTTTTTTTTTAGCTAATCTTGCCAACGTAAAAAATAAAATGTTTTCGGTTTTGTAATGTCACTGCACTTGTGGGCCATTGAGATCTACAGGTCCCTCTGCTGCAGTGGCGTATATAGGACTTGTAGTCTTGGCCGGCTCCGCCCAGTTTTTATTCATTAGCCAGGACCTGCTAGACTCTGGCAGGTGCTGGCCAATAGGAACAGTCACCGCTAGCTCCGCCAAATTGTTTTTCTTTTTTAACTTTTCTTTAAAATATTTTTTTCTTTTTACATTTTCCTATTTGTTTACATGTTTAAAATATTTTTTCATTTCACTTATTTTCTATTCTGCTCACTACTTTTTGTAAGTGTTTATATAAGTTTTAGATTGGAATCAATAAAACGTTTATCTGCCCCAGGGAAGGCGCCTTGTTTTATATTAAATGTAGTTACACTAACACACAAGAGCAATGCTTGTTCTATCGACAGATATTTCTTTCTACACAGTTTAGAAAGCTTTGGCAGGCAGCATTTTAAGCATGATTTAGGACTTACATGAGCAAAGGTCTAAAAAAAAAATGTCTACTCTCTAAAAGTCTGATCATATGAACAGTAAATAGTAGTAGGCACTGATGACTAAAAAGCTTGTTGACTCATTTACAATGTACCCAACTATTCCTCGACATATATTGTAGGGTTCTGGCGCCTCCTGCTGTCAAGGTCCAAATGATCACCATGTTTTGCATTTTACTGTAAGCCCTAAGTTGCAAATACGTGTAAACGGGGAAACAATATTTTGTAATCATTTCAATTGGTATCATTTCAATTATCAGAACAACAAATAACATTCCCGCACATCCATCTGGCCAGAGCATGTGATATTTCATATATTACTGAGTTATTTAGTAGGGATGTCCCGATACTGATGCTGGGCATTTTCAGGAGTACTTGTACTCCTGAAAATGCATCAATATCAGCTCTTTAAATTTTTCATTTTAAAACTGATCGGCTGCAGAGGACCCGCCCTTGTGGAGACCTCAGCAGCCTGCTGGGGACCTGGCAGTAGTTGTCCTTGCCAGTGCCTGTCCAGTCCCATATGTCCTCATCCTTCCCGGCGCAGGCACAGCCCCGCACTGAACAAACAGCCCCGAAGCCGGAAGAACGGCACCCAATCGTTCAGCACGGTGCCCAACCACAGAGTCCCACATGCAGCCTGGGGACATCTGTACAATGACCCGGTGAGACGCAAACGCAGCCCTGGTGACAGCTGTACAAAGAGCCCTCTCACCTGCTTGTTTTTGCAGGGGGGAGGCACAATCCCTGGTGATCCAGTGGTTGATTAGTAAGGTCTGCACCTTTGGCGGCTGCAGACCTTACTAATCCATCCTTTCGGCCAGTGTTCAGTGAAGAGCACCGGCCATAAGTAACTGAGTGCCGGTGTTGACACCGACACAACCAGGAGCAGCTCTGTGACCTGCATTCGACAGAGATGCAGACCGTGTAGGTGTTTTCGCAAGTCAGGTAAGTGGGCCGTGTGGCTGCAGGCCACATAGTACCCGTTTGTGGCACGGTACTTTGAGAACTCTGATGTAAAGTATAAAGTGATGTGAAAAAGTAGATACTCCCCAAAGAAACTTTTTCAACATATTTAAACAGGCAAACATTGGATGCTTTAAAACCACAGGGACGAGGCTGCAGATGGTGATGTCCGTTTATGTAAATTTATGTCAGGAAATTCCCCAACTCCGTTGGACGTGATAGGGGAAAATGGGGTACCTTCCATTTTGACTCCTGGCATTACTCACAACTTAGTCACTTTTCGCCAACAAGCTTCCATAATCAGGCCCTCCAAACCGTTGACTCTTTATGAACAATTGTGTGACTCCTCCCAGCCACTCTCCCTTCTGTACAAATGACTACTTCTGCCAGCGCAGACCAATGAGAAGTGCTTCTCATTGGTCAGCGCTGAGTGCTCGCAATTTGTGAGCGAAATTTAAAATGCATAGCGCAGGGCTGCGCTGGACAGCAGTACGGGGTACAAATTGTACACTCGTGATGACAGAGGGAAAGGGCTGTTTGCCGTGAGGCAAGTATAGCGGGGTGGGGGTTGGGTGAGAGATGGGGCCAAATTTGATCGGGTAATTCAATTTTGCCAAATTACCTGGGAAAGTGAACTTACCCTTGCACATTGCGTGTGTTAGGCCCCGTTCACACCAGGGCGATTGCAGTTCAGCGTGGTTTCTGCACAAATTCTAAAAGGCCGGTTTTAATTGTGTGTCAGCGCTGAATCGCAATTGAAAATGCCCAAAACTGTGCTGATCAGCATGGTTCCATTGAAATCTATATGTACACTGTGCTGATCAGCTCAGAAAAAATGCTCAGGGAACATTTCGGGCGGCAGGCGGTTCACATCGCGCAATCGCATGAACGGTCCACATAGCAATGTATGCGATTGTTCATGTCGGCGGTTCAGCATGGCTTAAGGCCCCCATTCACACTAAGCAACACTTACCTCGAGCGGATCATCACGGCAGGGATAGCGCAACTGTTCGGGGCGACGTTCCAGCGACGATCGCACAACCTTCGCCGTCGGGCTGCATGCAAAAATAGAAAAATCGTGCGACATCCGGGGGGGAGCTGCCTGGCTACCACAATATGGCACGCAGTGGAATTGGGGCGGCACTCAAAACACACACACTGTCCTACACGTGCGTTTATTTGCATGCACATGGTGGGGGTGGCAGGGTTGGTTTTAATATTTTTTTACCACTTTTTCATTTTTTATTATGTTTTACTTTTTTAGATATTTTATTTTTAACTTTTTTAAATTTTATTTTATAATTTTCCACTTTTTTAATTTCGCTTAATTGTATTCTTATTAGGGATGTCCCGATACAACTTTTTCAAGACTAAGTACAAGCACAAGTACCTCCCCTCATGTACTTGCCGATACCAATTACCGATACTTTTTCTTAAAGGGACAGGTGACATTTAAAAAAAAACAATGCAGACTAATGATTTTAAGCCAATTTCTTTATGATTATGAAGAACTTTAATTTAAGACTGTTTTAGAACAATAAAACATTTGTATTTGCTTTCACACAGTTGTCGTGAAACTACAAATCCGATCATGCATGT